AGGTACGGTATTGTCCTCTGACAAGGAGACAATCGAAATCACATCAATAATAGAGATTATTTCGTTCAGCTGCGTATCAGAGACACGGTCGGGGTTCAACCAAGGGCTGGCTATTCCCAGTGATCCCCTTTCACGACGAGCTCGAGTCTTCGCAGCGAGTTCTTCACTACGAGTATCTTCAACGGCGTTGAATAAGTCGTGTCCGTCTCGTTGTGGACTTCTACAACGTCTCATTTATCAGTCTTTTCAGCCTGAAATGGAGGGCCATTTTCAGGCCCTTGTTTTCAGGCTTTCAGGCTGAAAACGTCACGGGCCTGAAAATGGCCCGTGCAGCCTGTTGCAGGCGCAGCATGTAACAGAGAGACAGAGAGAGAGAGAGAGAGAGAGAGAGACAGAGAGAGAGAGAGAGAGAGGGATACACATACTTATGATTGTGTATATGTCTTTGTGTACAAGACTTCGGCGATAGCGTCGCGGCATGCTGCTTCGAAAAGTGCACTGTTATGAAATCCAGCACTGACCCCTCGTCCAGCATAGAAGTTGCTACGACTAAGTAGAGGAAGCATTCAGAGACCAGACGAACAGCAAACGTGCGAAGTCCACACGAACGAACGGGGAAAGAAAAAAGGGAAAAATACAATTATCAGAAACAACAAGCGAAAAAAAATAAATCTGATGATGATAGAATGTTTCATCGGACTTGCGCGGACTCATCAGAAGGCTGAACCCTCGACGATCTGCAGAATCTCCATATTGATGCTTCGAGTCATGGACTCTTTAATCCTTGGTGGAGGTAGGCCACGCGAATGCAACAGCACAAACGGAACATGCCATCAAAGCAACAGCTCAGCGAAGCACCAGGGAATACTAACGGGGCAGCCCAACGTAACAACGTCAGAGTGCACTGCACGGAACGGCAGTGCGAGCGGACGGGCAAACAACGAGCTGCAGGGAAAGACATGGGAAGTGGGTGGGCAGCAAGGCAGTGGAGGGGCACAGAGAAGGGAGGCCACACATCGAACATGGACCTAAGCAATCCATCACCTACTCACACAGCAAGTACAATCCCACAGACTGCTGGTTCCCACCACCTGCGGAGCCAGAAAGCCACTCTGAAGGATGTCTATCGTCACCCATAGACCATGTGCACCACACAGACATCATGAACAGAGCAGGGCCCCTAATAGTGTTACAGGCAAGCCAAACACTGCGCCACCGACAGTTAAGCACTTCTTAGAGGTGCCCGCTCAGACAGACAGAAAACACTTAGTAAAAAACTGGAAGAAAGACATAAGAAAAAGGAAGAAAGGCATACATAAAAGTTCCGACAAAAAGGTGCACCTGATTGTGTCTATGTTTGTGTGTGTGTGTGTGTGTGTGTGTGTGCGTGTGTGTGTGTGTGACAGCACAAGTAGGATTTCCCCAGTGCAGATACTTCGCTCCATACTATCCACAAAACCAGACGAGGAGGGCAATGGATTCTGCCGTTCGTGATATAGCTCCTACGTAGGCACAATCGATAGTGAGCATTAACAAGAAAAACACCAACTCAGCAGTTGGGACGACAAAAAGAGAACAACACCAGGGCATCAGGGAACAAGGCACAGGACGGCAGGCAACAACGAAGGCACATGGGCTGGAGGGCACGGGGAAGGAGGGTGGGCAGACAAACAACACAAGGCAGCAAACCCCGAAAGAAGACAACACAAGACAACCACAAAGGCATAGGGCGACAGGCAGCAGTAAAGGACAAAGGTTGCAAGGCATAGGGGAGGCGCGAGGGCAGATGACATTTGAGCACGCAAAAAAATGCAAAAACCGAAAAAAAAAAAAAAGCTGATGATAGATTGCTTCGTCGGAGTTGAATCCTCGGCAATCTGCGGAATGTCCGTATTGATGGCTTGGGACCTTTGGGTCATGAACCCTTTGACCCATGCTGAAGGCAGACTGTCCCCAAGCGGAACATAGCACTGGGCAGGAACCCTGCGGAGCCCCAGGCAATGCATTAGATGGAACATGGCTGCACAACGCCAAAAACGACTGCAAGGAATGACACGGCACACAGGACACGCAGCACTGCAACCACGCAGTGAAGCACAATGCCAAAAACAACTGCAAGGAACGACACGGCACACACTACACGCAGCGCACAATGCCAAGAACGACTGCAAGGAAGAACACGGCATGCACGACACTCAGCGCGGCAACCACGCAGTGAAGCACAAGGCAACACGACCATGGCAACCGCACTGCAAGGGAGGGCAGGGCGACCGGACGAGCAGCACAGCAGCCATGCGGTGAAGCACAAGGCAACACCAAGAAGGCAACTGGACTACAAGGTGCGCAAGCGAAAGACACGGAAAACACGGCCAGCGGAAGGGTGGCAATGAAGCAGAGCAGCGAAGCGCGAGGCAACACCAACAACACGGCTACACCGCACAGCGAACACAGCAGCTCGCCAAGAACGACCTGCGAAGCAAGTGGAATGGGCAGCAACGCAGCGGCGGACTCCGAGCGCAGATGAGGCAGTCCACACATCCAACACGGAGCAAAGCGGCACATCACCTACTCACATCACGGGGGAACCCCACAGACTGTTGGTTCCACCACCCACTGAGCCAGGGAGTCGCTCTGACAAACATCCATCATCACCCGTAGGCCAGACAGACATCTCGAACTGAGCGGCCCCCATAAGAGTTTTGAAGGCACTCCGAACGAGGAATGACCGACTGTTTGGCACTACCTAAGGGTGCTCAGCTCGGCCCACAACAGATGTTCCGAAAAAAATACAGAAAGAACAAACATCAAGAGAAAAACAATCATACATAAAACTGAATGTGTGTGTGTGTGTGTGTGTGTGTGTGTGTGTGTGTGTGTGTGTGTGTGTGATTCATGTTTGCAATCTGCACAGGAGGGGCTGTCAGTGGAGGTGGTGAGCAAGCGACTCGTAAGAGAAGCAGTGAGAGAACGGCGGTGTAAGGACAATTGCACGGCATTGACGATAGTCTTCAGTCGTTGATTGATGATGAAGTGATGTCTATGAGAAGTGTGGTTTAGACAAAGAACGACTTCCGAGAGATGGAAGTGGGAGGGAAAGGAGACCAGCCGATAGAAAGTCAGTCAGAGAGCATATCCACACTAGGACTTTCATGAATGTATTGGACCGCAACTTTGGCCTGTCCTGGATGTATCTGACAGAAATTACGCCCAGAGATCAGTCAAAAAAGTCCGACTGTTAGTATGCCCCGAAACTCGATGATTTGCTCTCTGTCTATCCGATGTGTCGTCCTTCATACAAAGTTGAGATTTGCCCAAATGGGTCAAATCTACATTTGCAACATAGAGCTGTAGTCTCCTTTTCTTTTTTTCATCGGACAAAATTGACAGAAGCCAAGCAACAGAAGACATACCATATGATGTACAGAGTATTCTTGCAAGAGAGAGAGAGAGAGAGAGAGAGAGAGAGAGAGAGAGAGAGAAGCAGTAGATTGTGACATGCTGTGCTGTTCTCGTCTTCCCGCTGTATGTGGACTTGGTGAAATCAATTGAAGCACCAGTACATGGGCATCTGGGCCGCCGGCATGACACCTCAAATTCTGGAGGTGCAAAACGAAAAACGTGGCCACCGATCGAATTTATCAACGGCGGGCGCAGTGTTTGACGTTTCGGCCTCGTTTTCTTGTGGCGACGAGTTTCGGACTGTAAGGCTGTGGGGGGCGTGTACTTGTGGTTTACCAGAGATTCAGGGATGAGAAATTTAGTCTCTCTTCTAGCCCGGACCTACATGTGTTTTGATTTTTTCCCTTTTTCTTTGTTGTCCTGCTTTCTCTTTTCTTTTCTTTTCTTTTCTTTTTCTTTTTTCTTTTCTTTTCTTTTCTTTTCTTTTTCTTTTTTTCCCATCTTTTTGTTGGTCCTGCTTTCTTCCGTTCGATTGTAGGGAGTTGAGCTTATGACAGCTTTTCACGTACCTGTTATGTGCCTGATTGAAACGAAATCCAACACGGCATCCACACGTTCCCATGCACGTTGTGTCCCGGATTGAAACGAAATCAGGCGCATAACATACCCCTCTTCTTTTTTCTGTTTTTTGTTTTTTTTTGCGGTCAACCGTCAAGGTTTTTCTTTTTGGCGGTGGCTTTCTGCTAGTTTGTTTATATAAATATATATATGTCCTCTTCTCTCTCTCTGCCTACGGTTTACCGGGCAGTTCTGTTTGTGACGATATATGTATATACAGATGCCAGCGGCGTGTCTGGAGTGTATTTTTTGGCTGTGACAGACCTTTCTTTGTTTCGTGG